ATGACAACGGTATCCTTGAATATTAAAGACAATCGAACTTCAAGTATATTTTTAAAACAATTATTTTTATTGGCCTAAATGTACTAAAAAATACTTGGCACATCAACATGTGGTCGCATCAATGAGTAGTCTTAAATTAAATAATCGAGATTGACCACCAGGGTCATACTGTAAAAGAGAGAACATATCTCTTATATTAGTTATTTATCCCTTGATTTTGTTGGCCGTACTTCCTCCTTTCCCCTTTCTTTGTACCATTTACCCTTCCCTTGAAGGCTCCTCACCATCACATTTTTACCTTGAGGTCCTTCATTTGTCTTGATGGTTTCCACACTGGTGGTGGGTCATTAACAAGACTCATTTTGATTTCTTTTCCGTTGTTATTTGACTATGTATTTGAGTTTGTATCTTTTAAAATATGTTTTTCCTATCTTTGTCTCAAGCAAGACTTATGCTTTATACTTATATATATACTCTTAGTGATTTTATTATGTTCATACATTTATTGTTTTTTGGGAATTGTATTTAAATTTCAGTTTTAAATTGTAATTTAAAATCTTGCTTTGGTTTTGTATAGTTATTTTGTATCTCTCACTTTAAAAAATGTTTGAGGAAAGAAACAGTGTTGATTGCTATAACTGCTTGATTTTGGACTACCTGATGATGCGGCTACATTGGGTCGCGAAACGAGAATTTTAATAAATGTACATCAATAAAAATAATTATTTTTTAAACAATACTTGAAGTGTGATTGTCTTCAATATTCGAGGATGCCTCTGTCATATAAAAATATTGAAGTTTTTTTGTTGAATCAAATATTCTACAAGATATTGTAGTGGATCATGTGATTCGATAAGAATATTGGGGGATCTTGATCAACTGAAGAAAGAAATGATTGTTGTTGGAGTGAAAGGGGAGGGGGAGGATGAAAAATAGATGGTAAATAAGGCATGTGACGGAAGTAGGATTGATTCTGGAATAATAATGGAAATGGTAGATTTTTTAGAATAGATATTTCAATTACTGAATGGGATACAGAAACAGAACATATGAGAACAACAGGAATCTAGACATTCCAGCAAATGTGTGCTGATGAGTTGTGTTGTTGAACATGCAAGAGCAAATGGACACTTTTGAGAAATGCATGAATGTTGTTGTTGGGTGGGTTAATGTTACAAGGTTGTATGTCAAAAAATTGCTTTTGGTTTTAAGGATGGATTGAATATATACTATACATAAATTTTTCCATATACATAATTATGTACTAATTTTTCTATAATTTATTTCAGATTAGTCCTGTGGAAGAATGCAAGGATGATATCGGAATATGTCAGACATGTAGCAAACGGCCTGCAGTAAGTAGTTACCTGTTATAAATTCACCTGGGAGGGGGGAGCTTAGGAACTTGCCTCAGGCCAGAGTTAATTAAGGCCCAGATTGATTTTATTTTTTTTATTGTGTGTGTGTGTGTATGGAGGGGTAGTCTTCAAAACAAAAATGTATTCACTTCCAATTGAACCACTATCAACTCTTTTACTTCTAATTCAACCACTAATATAACAATCACATCAGTTATTTCTGTTGTGTGGAGAGAAGAATTCTGTATTTGTATTGGAGGATACTTGAAAATTAAGGGAATGGCTGCAGGGAAGGATTGAAGGGAATTTGAAATAAGGGGCCCCATAGATCTCCTGCCCAAGTTTTTTCTACGCACCCCCTGTAAACGCTGCCTAATTTGTGGTATATCTCCATGAGCTAATTACTAGTAGGAACAAAGTTTTTGGAACCTAGTATGCTTGATATGCTTGAAGATTTAAGGAAGAAATTATGCTTAAAGTGATAATTTTAATTCATTTGTGAAGAAACATAACAGTATTCATCTATGAATGTAATGAAGGCAGTCTCGCACAAGGTCTGTGCTTGTTGCTCATCTCTAGACTTCAGTGTTTAGGAAAGATTGAACAATGATATATCTTTGAATTACAGTAATTTTTCCCCCATTTTATTTCAGGAATCTCCTCTGAATGAACTCACCTGCCCTCTTACCAAAAGACCTCCTGATAGTGACGTAAGTGTTACTCATTATTATAATTTTAGAACCACTCTGCAGAGATTATTTATTTATTTCACATCAAAAACCAGTTAAAATCCATGTGATGTACTATGGGGAGAAGTGCAATCTGTATTCTACTAAATCCTATTAAATCGAATTATGAAAAAAGGTAGCAACAAGTAATTTTGCAAGTATTGATAAGAAAATATTTACTACTGTGAAATAAGAACTATTTGCGAAGGCAAATCAGGTGCATATTTTGTTTATTATCCTTTATCATGCTGCTCTTGAGGGATATCATGCTCTTCTTGAGGAAATCGACTTTATGATGCATGGCAACATGGAGAACGATTATTGGAAAAATTATATTCGCCTCTGTGCTCTAGAATATGTGCACTTATATTGAAGCTACATTTATGTCCAGAAGTAATAAAAGCCTCCATTTTAATATTTGCTCAAAGGATCTGGTAAACAACAAAAAACCTTATCCACATGGAAGTCATTAACCTAGGAGGTATCATATTTCTTACAGGCATACTTACCCTTTATGAATTTTACAGTACAAATAGAAACTAATACATTAAATGTCATCGTCAAAGTTGATATTATTTTCTTGTCTGATGCTCTGTACAGTACCAATTGTTTTGAAAGTTACATTGCACAAAAGATTTTACTCGGCCCTAAACGTGTGTATCAGTTTTAATCATTTAATGTCATGTGACAATATGGTGTAAAATAATGTACATGTATTGTATGTGAATTGTTTGTAGTGAGCTATTGATATTGACACCTGATGAATATCATCACTATATCAAGTTTTATAGGTATAGATATTTGCATTGGCTGAAAAAATGTTCCTACCCTTGGGTAAGTCATGTTTGTCAAAGACCACTGATTCTTGAATCAAGAGGCAAAACAATGATTGAATATCTAGTTTAATAATGTGAGTGCATATTATTGGTACATTTCGTTTCTGTAGGTAATCTAAAAGTCTGAGAGCCATAAGATGAGTTTCCTAAGAGTATTATGCCATAGCCGGGAATAAACATTAATGAAATAGATATACAGGATGAAGACTGTCTGAATTTCAAAGAATTTTGAATGCATAGCATAGTGAAATTAAGTTTGTGTTCAATTCATTTAAATAAATGTTCCTTGTGAGGTTTGATTGAATTGAGAGACCCAATGTTGTTGTCTTAACATCTGTCAGTTGCACATCAGTTTCAAAGGAGTATGCAGTTGTTTATTTGATATGGAAAACTGCATTGAAATCTTTTCCCCTTTGTTAACTATTAATTTGTTATTAAAAAACAATGTGTATGTATATAATTGATAGTGCAATATTTAATTATTAGATGCTACACAAGTGCTTCATCTTCATAAAATATATCTGTGTTAAAGAATTGTATAACAAATCAAATAAAAATTCTAATCTTGCTTCTATTTTTGCAGCCAAGTGTTCGCAATTATTCCTATTTGTGATATTATTAACCAAAATTATCTTAATTTCAGGATCTTTACCAATTCAGAAGTTTTCTGATGTCAGTGAGTTTTTTGTAGTGTTTTTTGAAGGAAATCCGCACTGAATATTGTATACAATTGAAAGATTAAATTTTAGTCTCAAATTAGTGGTAAAAATATTCAATTAATTTGGATTCATTTATATACGAAGGTTTGGTAGGCTAAATAGCTTACTTAACAAGAGAGATGTTCCAAGATTTAATAACCTTATTAATTAATATTTCTGTAGTAGTAGTAGTAGTAGTAATAGTGATAGTAACACATAGGTCGTGTGTGCGATCTTTGGTGATTCCCTTAAGCGGATATTCAAAGCAGTTTAATATCAGCCTTGTTTTGTTTTTTTGAAGTGGGAATAAATAAAAACAGTGGAAGGGTTTAGGACACTTAACAGGGGTTGGACTAGCCCCTATGAAGCAGTCAAACTCATTTTGTCAGAACAAATTTCACATGCAGTTATTTGGAAATCAAACTCAGACCTCCTTGGTGATAGGCAAGTGACTTTCATTCAAGGCCACAAGTTCTATTCTTGTTGCCCAAGTTTCAATAGTACATTACGAATCTAAAATTATGTTTTATCTTCTTTACATCATTCAGTTTGTTTTATTCTTGTGTGGACACATTAAACTATCTCCCTAAATGTAAAAATATTTTGTATTAATCTAGTAAAATAAAATGTCCTACAGAACAACTCAAATTATCTTTATACAATTGGGCTGTTTTGGGTATTCAGAAATTAAATGAATAGCTAAAGCACAGATATTAAATAAGTAAGGCATCTGATATAGGAAAAACTATTCTTAATGTGAGAAAGCTTATAATTCGGTATCTGCAAACTCTGCCCATGGATGTCAATTTGATGCTATTGTTTAGTCAGATGGTAGCTGGGTTAACAGCATAATACTTGGTTGTTTCTATAATTTTCTCAACCTTTTGAATAATTTTTAATGCTTTTAAACTTAAATGTTTTGAAAAAGTACTTAATTTTATAACTATTAAAATAAACAAAGGAAAAGAACATGCTTGATTTTCTTTATGACAAATAATATATTATATAAATAATAATACATTCTTATAAAAAATATTTTTGAATGCATTTCACCGGTATCACAGGCATAGGAGAATACATACTATATCAAAGCCATATAAAAATTATATCAGAAATGTATGACAATGTCAAGTCAGCACATTATTTGCTAATAAAATGAACTTTTCCCATTTATTTTCCATGCATTTTATTGTATCATCAAGACTCAGAGAATCTCACTATACTTAAGATCTCAGCGATACATGTATTAGAAACTTGCCTACATAATGAATACAGTTTTTCACAATTTGACAAACCAACACTTCTCTCAAACAGTGACCTGTTGAATCATCTTACTGTCAATCACACGTCAGGAAATGTGTTACTGTTTTCTTGGAACTGGAAATTGAAGGCAAGCAAAAAATGACATGATAAGAACTATCAAAGTTCTCAGCAAATCTTGCAATGACAGGTGGAGATCAGTTAGTGGAATGTGCAAATACAGCCTCAGTGCAAACTATCTTGTTATTGTCAAAAGTAGACAAAATGTTCAATAAGAATATGTTTAAGATTTTTTTAAATTTGTGCACCAAATAAAACATTAAAAAGTAATGAGAATGTATAGACTATTGTGTTTCTCAAGACAGAGCCAAAAATTATATTGTTGCTGGAAATTAAGTTTAATTCACATATGGTAAAAAAGCAGAAAATACCGTAGAAACCGTTTAATAAAATCCTGCTTAATAAAATTTTCCCACAAAGGAGTTAAAATTGAACAGTCCCAAAACGTTTGCCATATAAACTATGCATTTTAAACCCACTTAATAAAATGATACACATGATAAAATAACTCGTCTAATAAAACCTAAATATGATAAGGAATTTGTAGTCTTCATTAATTTCTGTAGCGTTTCAATGTTGGGAGATCGTTCTCTAGTTCCTGGCTAACAGCACTAGTAACACCATCCATTTAACATTAGCAACTGTAGGTAGGTAAACACATTGCACATAAGTTCAGAGAAAGGACTTCCAGTTCAGCTGTCTGCTCAATGCACAGGATCACTTCTCTTTTCCTTCTTGCGGAACTCAGAAGACAGCAGCTGTGCTGCAAAGTGTTATATGATTTTGTGTTTCTTTGTGGGATACCTGAACATATTGCTTCAAAATCTTGTTTGCATTGGCGTTTTAGCAAGAAGGTAATGGTGGATTGCATATTTCTAAAGAAATATAGAAATGGAAACAGCGATGAAGAGGAAGGCCCTTTAAATAAGCAAGAAACTCATATTTTGAACAAAATTGATGGAAACCCAGGAGTAAAATGAGCCAGAATTGCAAAAGAATTCAATGTTCCAATTGTGACTAAATACTGTTGTGTACAAGAGGGAATACATATTAAAAAAAGGTTTGTAATCCATTTCTCCAGAAAATCAAGTCGTCAGAGCATGAGGAAGGTTCAAAGAAAAGCTTCTTTGAATATCCCGATTCAAGGCCTACTGCTACAGCAGGAGGCGGAAGAATTCATACTTAAACTGAATGCAAAGTTCACCCCTTAAAATGGCTGGCTGGACCACTTCAAAAAGTGTGCCAGCATTTTTACAACACTGTCAGTGGAGAAGCAGGAAACATGAACCAAGAAGAAATAGAAAATTGGCAAGAGCAAGATCTTCCTCTATTATTGAAAAACTATGAACCAATTAGCATATTTAATGCGGATGAATTTGGATTATTTTTTAATCTCTTGCCTTACACAACATATGCTTTTAGAATAGAAAAATGCACAGAAAGAAAAACCTATGAACGAAAGAATGAACAAAAGAATTACTGTTCTTGCCTGCAGTAACGTGAATGGTTCAGAGATGTTCCCCCTAATAACAATAGGGAAATCAGCGAAACGAAGATGCTTCAGAATTTTGAAGTCACTTCCATGCAATTAGAAATTCAATAAAACTGCATGGATGACTTGTGAAATTTTTGAAAATTTCCTAATAGTGTTTGATAAAATGGCTGCATGATGGCTCATGATAAAATGATGAATTGGAGTGTGCCTCATGGGAAGATGTTCAGAAGCAACTGAAAACTCCATCAGATTTCATATTTGAAAGTTTTGTGAGCTAAGACAGCCACCTTGCCACATCAGATACGTCATGCAGATATGTTAAGATATTTCAGCAAAAAGATAAAAAGAAGATGATGATAGTGATTATGATGAAGAATAAGAAGACCAACCCACATCTACCAAAATTTTAGGATATTTAGATAAGTATGCTGTATACTTGACAAGTCTATCAAGCATTCCTGATTATGGTAGAAAGAGCCTTCATATATTGCAGCAGTTTTCTGTTGAAGTCGAAATGAAACATTGTGGACAAAGTACTCTGGACATTTTTTTCAAGAGAGCATAATTCTCTAGTAATGTAAGTAATGCTTAATAAATACAATGAAAACCAAACATTTTTACTTTTTTATGACCCTTTTAATGAAATTTCCCTTTTAATAAAATCTAATCTTAAAGTCCCAACAATATTTTATTAACTGGGTTTTACTGTACTGTAAGATTTATATAATAAATAAATAAGTAACAACAATAAAAATGATAATCATGATAATAACAACAACCATAATAATAATAATAATAATAATAATAATAATAATAATAATAATAATAATAATAGTAATAGTAATAATATTAATAATAATGTTAAGACGGTGGATCTGGAGTGTTGCTAGAGACAAAGACACATCGTACCAGAACAGATAACTTTACTATTCATCGCTTTACCAGAACATGTCACTTGTGTATGATTGAACCACTAAGACCTCAAGATAAGATTGTTTAATCTGTTTTATCATTCTGAATCTCTCTTATCAGAATTTCTTTTACAACACAAGCTCTTCAATACAAATTGATGAGAATTGGCATTCTGTATGTGTGTTTTGTTTTTGTCCCCTTTATATACTGTAATCTTGAATTGAAATGTTCTTTAAATATAAGGGCATTGATCATCAGAGGCCTGTCATTATTAAATTTACTCTTAAGTGCTCCAACTACTTTCAGTTACCCAACAACCCGAAACGCTTAAAAAAAAGTTCCTGTAAATGCAAGAAACAATTGGCTTTTAATATTGAATCTGAATTGCCTGAAAATTCTCCGGAGTACTCTACATCTGAAAATGATGAAGACAACGAGAAACTGGCTGAACCATTAGGTCTGGAGGAGTTAAATATTGCATCTTTACCTGAAGGCCACTCTATTGCTACTGTAAGTATATTGATTTATTTTATAAATCATGTTTTACTGCTCTCGTTTCAAAAAAAACCTTTTTCCAACAGATTTACAAAATCTTTGTTATTTCAATTTTTGATCTGTTAGAAGACCATGAATTGTACTTAATTCATAGTCTTTTAAGTAAGCATTTTCTATATATTACATAAATTATTGCTATAACACTAGTTTGTTAAATTGACATGGAATCATTATATTGAAGTGTTGACTTAAAAAAATTAAATATTTTGAAAGAGTGGCTTATCCTTTATTTTGTTATATTTTCATATTGCTGGAAGAACTTCAGTCCATTGTTTTGAAGTTAACCGGCAACATACATCACATTCTAAAAACTGGTTCTTTGCTCATTAGTTCATCTAGAAAAATATTACTCTCTTTCATGAAATTTCATGAAAACATGTCCGATTGTAACATTTGTATCTATGAATGTCAGTAAAATTTTAATTGATTGTGCTAATTGGTTGCAAAGGAATCTCTAATTGAAGGTATCACATCTGTTAACAACTTCAAAATGTACCAATCTTCGAACCTGCTGGAGATAAATATTAGATCCTTTTAAATTACATATTATGAAATGTGATTCTTCTGTAATATGCATATAACAAGCTAGTTTAACTTCTATATTTTATTATTCAGACACATTATATCAATTTTAATGATTAAAATTGAAGGTAATTTTTTTTCCCCTTCATAATACCATACCTTCAAATTCCATTAAACTTTGAGGGAATAATTATTTTCTAATGAGGAAGTAATAGCAAAAAAACGTTTTTGTGAAATTATGTGGTCTGTTGGGATGCTTTTTTCAAAAATAGAAGACAAAATGACTGTTGCTAATATCTGTGTTTCAGACTAGTTTTTTTCTCTGTAGGTAAATTAGAAATAAATTAAAGCAGTCGCTAGCATTGCCATTTGCTTTTAATTTGTCTACAAGACTACATGTCAATTAGAAGTGGTTAGGAGTTTTAGTAAGTGTAAGTGGTTTACCATCAGTATAAGTATAGTGCGAGAGGAAAGTCTCTCCACAGTGGCACCTTGCTGGTGAGAGTGCTTGCAACCGCAATTAGGTTGGTAGCTTGAGCTGCATCTTGAAACTGTAAATTACATGCTCACCACAATCATAATAGATGCTGGCAGTGTTGTTCCCTTAAGTTGTTTCGTAGATATCTGGTTGCTAACATTACAAACTTGATTGCAATTTTTAATAGGAGGCCCTGATTCGACTCAGTGCGGAGAGACTTTCCTGGCGCTCTGAATTACTCTCTCTTTATGACGCCTTAGCAAATTTAGCAGCAGTACAGATCCAGCATCATCATTCTTCCTTGTGGCAAAGAAGTGAGTGAGTGTGCAGATATGATACCAGTATCACCAGGCAATCTTAATACCAGTTTAGTTAATGTAGAAATATAACCTGCAAAATTACATTCAATGCCTAGGCACAGACAGTCTGTTGTAACTAAGCAAAAATTTCAAGCAGCAGCTGAAGCACTTCTCACCCAAATTGCTAAGGTTTATAGGACCAGTTCTGAAAAACCAAATGAAGATGGATACAACCAAACATAAAGCAAAACATTTTGATGAATGGAAAAAATTAAAGAGAAAATTAAACATGTGAACGTCTGCAAAAAAGTCTAATTGCTTACACTGGTCCCAATATCCTGGGATAGAGAAAAAGTGACTAAAATGCTTGAAGTTTCAGAATGAGGCAAGTGCCCTAGCGAGTAAGAATGGCATTTTGGCATTGCCTAAGTAATGAAAAGGGAAGGTACTGTCAAAAGAAACGGAAAGGAAAGTGATTGTTTTTTACTTGGATGATGAAAATTCAAGAATAATGCCTGGGTAGAAAGACAAAATAAGCAAGTAAAAATGTTTGTAAATGGAAAAGACTGATTTTAAACAATCTTTCAATTGTATTCATCATTCAAGTCATTTCTTCAACACAAGGTCGGTTTCTCATAAATTTGCTGAATTGTGTACTTGCACGGTCATCAGACCCACATGCTGTCTGTGTTTGCTCAATCCATCAAAATGTTCCGTTTCTTTTACAATCCTCTTACATTTTACTTTAAAATGTTGAAAGAGAGAATGATGAAATAGCCCTGATGCTTTTGGATTTTAGTGAAAACTACAGTTTTGTAATTCAAAATGAGGCCAAGTGCATCACTTGAACACAGGTACCTGCACACTTCTTGCTGCTGTGGTATATTACATGGAAGATGAGAGACTTCACTCAAAAAGCATCTGCATAATTTCAGATGGCTTGGAGCATGATATACCTTTAGTATACCAATCTCAAAAATTAATAATAAATTTCTTTAAAAACTGCCTCAGAGCTGCATGATTCAGATATTAAATCTGTGGAATATTTTTCAGACGGGTGTGCTGCTCAATACAAGAACCGTAAAAATTTAATTAACGTGTGCCATCATGAAGTAGATTTGGGAATGAAATGTAAATGGTCAATCTTCGCAACTAGTCTCCTTGTGATGGAATGGGCGGTACATCAAAAAGAATGGTTACCAAATCAAGTTTACGAAGACCATTTAAGAATCACACAGACCGTATTGCTTTTTGCCAATATCCAGACAGATGAAAGAGTGTAGGAACATTGTAGAAATTTTGAGATATTGAAAGGGGTTTTTAGTTGCAGCCCAACATTTATAAATTACATGATGCCTAACATTCCGGTTACCATCAATAAAAAGGTCTAGATTCTGGTAATGATTGATAACCATTTTTTTTTATTATTCTGAAATAGTTTTAAAGTTAGTATGTCTGAGTTTTTCATACAGTCAGATATATTAAACTGGAAGATCCATTCCGTGTTAGCTCTTCAGAAATCATTTTTAGACCTTGATTCATTTTAGCAACTAATGCCAATGTTTTAGAGGAATGAAACAGTAGTTGTATGTTATCAGCATGCATCTTTATAAATGAGTGGAGGTTAAGGTTTGGTATATCAGATTTGTAGATGTTGAAAAATACAGAACCTAAAATTGAACATTGTGAGACCCCAATCTCAAAGATTGCAGGTGGGAGTGAATCGCTTTACCCCTAGATCACTACAATGTAGCTTCAGTTCTTTCTGTAAGATAGGACCTCAACCAACTTGTCTCAAAATACAAAAAATTGAATGGCAACTTATGCAAGAGTCAAGAGTGATTCAAAATATTAAAAGCTTTGGAAATGTCAAGAAAGCACAAAGATGAGACGAAGACATGTTCATGGGCCATGACTGGATTTCAAATAATGTAAAGAGCAGTTATGGTGTTTGAAGCACAATGAAAGTTAGATTAAAGAATAGGGAACAGTGAATGTTTCATAAAATGTCTTGAAAGTGTTGTCCCACAACCTAAAGATAAATAGATTTTTTATAATTCATTAGCAATCGATAATTATAATGTCACTTGTCTATTAACTAGAACACACTGAACTGATTGGTTTTGTATGCTTTCTTTTCAGACAAGTTCAGAAAATGAAATTACTCCAGAAATTGGTGCATCTAAAAGGAAGCATTCAGCAGATGGAGAAGTAAGTGTGCTTTGCTTTTAGGACAGATTTCTAATCTTATGTTGATCATATTTCTTGAAGCACTTATATCCGTAACTAGAATTGTATAGAGGCCTATAGTTAGAGATTTCTGTGTACCTCAAAAATCACAATACTCTTCAGGTTGTTGAATATAACAAAGTATTAAACAGAGTCAGGATTAGGCTGAACATTGTAAACTAATCTGGAGAAATTTAAAGTACTTAGGAAAATTTGCAGTACAGGGATGATTAAAAAATTATTTTTTTTGTAATCTCATCATTTAATTAATTGTGTCAAGAGATGGCTTGATTGTGTATGAACGTAGCATAATTTCTAATTTTCTGTTGAAATGACTTGTATCTCACAAATGGGTAGGGGTGTCCAGCAAAAACAAGAGATCTGGGGCAGGAAATTCTGGAGGTCCCTTATTTCAAACAAAAGTTTTCCCCTCCTAATACATAAACAGAATTCATACCTCCATGCAACAGAAATAATGTATAGTGATTAATTAGAAAAAGCTGTAAATATATGTTTTATGTTTTGGAAGAAAACCTTGATGGCTTTAATTAAGTAAAGGCCTAGGGGTAATTGCCCCAGCTGTCCTCCCTTCTGGCACACCAGCAAATCGGAAAAAAAATTCCTACTTCCTCATAAACATAGTACATTTATAGAATTCACATAGTAATGAGATAGCTATGTAAAGCTTCAAAAAATTGATTAAGAGATTTTGACAGAAATAATAGAGCAAAAGTGCTGTTATAAAAATGGCACACATCTGCTTTTCATTAAAACTTTTAAAAAAATGCAACTGTTTTGCCAGTTTCAAATTTTTCAATGCCTTCCTACAAGTACATTAATGAACACACAGATTATTTACTTAATGCAATTTGCTCTTCAAAATTATATTTTCAAATGATGAGTACGAGTGTTTCAAAACATGACAGGTTTTTGTACAATTTTAAGTTATACATTTTAAATTATAAGGTTGCAATAAAGTGTAGCCCTACCATTTGTTTTAGGCTTCGCACGCTGTTGGTTACTGCATTTTGGGGGCTGCATTTTTAAATATGACCTTTGATTGATTTGTTTGCCCTTGATTCTTAGGCAACCCAGATGTTCAGCAGTTACATGAAATCTCCTTGACTGCATGAAATTGTGACCTTCTCGATAAGAAGTTACTTAGAAATCCGGGGGAAATGTCATGTTACACCGTTATATGAAATTTCCCACTAGATGTGCATTGGAAAAAGTTATTATTTTTGACTCCTCTACACTCTAAAAGTTTGTACCTTTTATTCCGAGACACTTATTCATACTTTCATGGGAGAGCTAAGAGAGCTAGAATGTTTAGTTTTAGAACAAGGGCTTGCACTATTTTAGCTATTGAATGTTGGACATTGTTCACAATATTCTTTTTGGGATAATACATTTGTAAGATCTTTCAGGAGCATTTTCTCCAAAAATTGTTCTATATTTAAGATGTGAATATCCATTTGAAAATTACATTGTCCATTGGACCATGTCCAGGAGATTCATCTAAAAAGATTTCAGCAATATTGATAATTCTTTATTGAATTATTTTTGCAAATAATTTGTCAGCAGCACATAGCAGACTAATGCCTCAATAATTTCCAGGAGTTGATCTATTTAGTGTTTTAACCCTCAATGAGTACACTGGGATGTAGGCTATCCCACTCAATGTTTTTTGATGTTTTACTTACTGGAACATGTATTGGCAACATTGATAGCTGAACTTTACGTGATTTCATTTGATCAGTTCATCTATCTTAGTTATTCATTTCTTTGTTGATATGTGTTCTGTAAGTCAGATTCTGTTGTTTTGAAGCAGAATCAGGGTGTTGTGCACCCCACTGAGCTATTAGTGTATTTTTAATTTGAAACACTTGCTTTCGGTGTCGATTTACAACACATTTCGTGACATTACTGTAGATAACTGATTTTCTTCAGTTGATATGTTCAGGAAAATGAGATACAAGATAAAATACAAGAATCAGACATGAAATACAAGAACTAAAAAAGAGGTAATAAAAATACAGTATGGACATAATATATGAATGGATGGAAGAGGGCTTACCAAAGCACGAAAATCAAATACAGTAAATCAAAACAATCAAGAATGTATGTCTATATTGCAAATAAGCAGCTTTTCATCAAAGTGGAAGGAGGCAGGTGTGAATTAAAAAGGAGCCAAATATTTTGGGTCAACTCTTATGTTCCTTTTCTTGTCAATTCATACTTGCCTCATTCCACTTTGACATCGATCTGCTTATTTCCCCTGAATAAATACATAGTTGATTTTCTGTTTTAACTTTAATATTTTAACTTGGTCTTCCTATGGAATAATTATATTCTATGTATGTGTTTATGTTTTGTTAAAATAATTTCAAATTCTTGAAAAGTATTTTCAAATGTTCAGTGGAAATGCATAAGACCTGAGTTTTGATTTTAGGTATATTGGTGATGAAAACTTCAGTCTTCGCTTTCATGATAGGGATGAAGAATATAGAATGGCTGAATGAGTGTAATATAGGCCTACTTAATACCAAAATGATGTAGTCCTAGTATAACACTCATCTTGTTGATTTTGAACAAAATAAACTGGAATTGTGTTTGTTGTACTAATCTTCATTTGCTCCTTATCAAAATTGTAGGCGAGATCACTCTAAGAATAATAGATTAATGATATGAAGTGTTTGCTATCAAAACCAGCTCATTCTGTTATAAATATTCCAAAGTTTAGTGGATCCTTTATGTCTTCAAAAAGTGATTTACTCGTTCAAATCCAGTTTTGTTTCTATCTACAATGTAGTGAGAAAATATCCTGTTCCTAACAAACTGCATGTGGACACAAGAGTTTTGTGTCTTTTGTAAAATTTTATCCACGTGGAACAAGCTAGCAAACGCCTCTTACAGAAGTGTCAGTGCACTGGGAAAACTTTATACTTTACTTTAACTTTTTGTGAGACCATACTGTTGAAAATACTAATAGTATTTTGCAAAAATAATTAATTTGTAATGAGGAGAGCATTCAGAGTTATTCCATAGAGTATTCGGTCTAATGGCTTTGTGAATTTGAGAATATTAGATTGTGTATTTTCCAGAATTGGGTTATTTGTAAGAAGAAATTAAAATGTGACTGCAAAAAACAGTTCAATCAAAAAAGAATTAAACAAGAATTGGTGCATGATAGCAACTGTAATTTGAATAGCTTAGACTCCCAAAGTGGGCCACAGCCCTTGACAACAGATACATCAACTGGTGAACATAAACCTGAAGACGTGAGTACAATAATTTTTATTCCATAGATTGCATTTTTCTGTGTTGTAAAATGAAGTAATTTGTTATTAATATATCTTTGTTCAGAGCAATACATTTCATTGTCGCAACTAATTGCTGATTATCATTGAAACAAAACATGAAATTACAATTGGGAAAACCTTGTTTCAAATTTAGAAAATATGGCAAATGAAATTAGAGTAGACTTCAATGATATTTTCATTTCATTTTCATGTTGAAATCAAATATATTTGTAATGAAACAGCAATTTTTGTTTGTGTTGTGCAACTCTTTATCAATTCAGGGTTCTTTTGAAACCATTTAGCTCTCTTATCATAACTCATGCTTTCCCCAGTCGATCTGAACGTCAACTAACATTGTCCAAGCTATCTTCTTGGTGAAACATGAAGTCTTTCTAGGGAGAATTTTACTAGAGTGAATTCCTAGAAACTCCCAGCCCCTCTCGGATAGTCCGTTGGTTAGTGTGCTCGCTTTCCACGGCACAAACCTGGGTTCGATTCCCAGCCAAGGCACATTATAACTGAGCACTTTTCATACAAACATCCCAGTATCTATTGCTGTGTGATGATGAGAAAGTCCGCCTTATGGTTAAGAAGACTATTGTATATGGTGAACGGATTTCAGAATTTTCCTCCTCTTTGTCACCACTTATGTCACAAATTGGAATACCCCCAATTCCCCCCCCCCCCTCTTCTCAAATGTAATAGATGGTCAAAAGAGATCTCATTTTATAAATTATGTCTGAAGGACAGTAACTAAACCCTTCAAACTCAAAAATCAGGATTTAAGGGTCTTAATTACAGTTTTCCAATGTGTAAACAAAATTGGAAAGATTCGTTACTCTGTTGTGACGAATTTTTTTAATTGCATTATCTACAAAATTTTACATTTTTCAGATTAAATCTGTTTGGTGTAGTTGTGGTGGATAGTTCTCTCACAAGTAATAGCAAGCATGGACAGTTATAAATGGTTCTAAACTGCTTCTTTCTCTGAAATATTAAGACACATGATAATACTTTTACATTCATTTTCTTGATCCAGTTTTCTTAATCAATTCACATGTCTTCATTATTAATCCATTTGATTTAGCTTACTAATTTTATTACTATACTCATGAATTTTTTTTATGTATTTGAATTGCATTATCCATATTCAAGTTCAATAAGATTCAGCATTTCCTTCCCATTCATTTCAGATTTACCACGCTTCCAGCATAAACAAATTAATCAAAAATTACAATTTGTAAAATAAATGAGATGATTTCATTGATTATCTTTTTATGTAATATGATGTTGTAGTTCACTTACCATTATTTGTACAGAAGAATAACCAACTCAATTGTGACCCAAAATTCTTTAGAATTGACACTCAGCTTCTAGAGTGTTTCAAATTATTTTTTGTAAGTCCATAACTGCCCGTATGTCCGCATTGTGCATGTGTGTGTATCTTTTGAAAGTTACTCTACAGGGGATATAGAAATTCGATCCAGGATAATATCAAAAAGAAGGGATGATAGTGCGGCAGTTCGATTGTCCAGTTTGTTCACCCAATAAGGTTTAGTGACCAAAAGTGAATAAGGAATCAAAGGTATGTAAACAGTGCTGATTTTAATTAAAGTAAAGTGTTTTGTATAAATGTTGTATTGATTTTTAGGGAATAAATTGTAAGTGATAATTGTGGTTTGTGGATTAGATATTGGTATTTGGTATTCAATTAGGTAAGTTTACATCAAATATTAAAAATTAATTGATTGTGTTGAGTGCTAATTTGGTAAGTGAAAATAAGTGCAATTATTGGAGACTTGTATTGATGTTCGTAGAATTATTCTTTCTAAAAGGGGAGTATTTTTCATTTCCTCTGTCCCTGGCCTTTTTCCCATATTGTTCTTCCCCATTCTTTCTCCCTGTTTTCTCTTTCTCTGTGCTTCTTTGCCCATCCCATTCCTCTCCCTACTTTCTTTAGTCCTTACCTCAGTTCTTTACTGATGGCAGTTTCTTACTCTCCCCGTGTCTTTCTCCCTTACCTTCTCCCTGTTCCATCTGTCATGCCTTTACCTTGTTTCTTCCTGGAAGCTAGAGATATGACTGACAAATTGTAAGTTGCTGAGTTTCTTACTTGTTTATCATGCAGTGTTGTTACAGACAATTTTATAGAACTTACGTGCCCCTGCAGTTGAGTCATGTGGGGGTGATGATAATATTTTGTCTCACTACAATGACAAATTATAGTTAAAATTAGCTTACAACTTACTTAGCATCAAATATAAATTGTTTGAAAATTCTTATGGCAAACTTCTTTCAGGTTGAAGGAATTTTGAAATTAAAGAATGTCTGTGATGAATCAGAAGATACAAGAATTAGAAAATCTCGTACTGAAGTGGCCAAGTGCCTGGGAAGCATGAAGCACATTAAGAAGGAAATGCTCCAGTTGTTTGATCTAGAATCAAACAGTGCATCCTTATCCAAATTTAATAAGACCACTGAACTTGAGTGTGATGTAAGTATGGCTGGAAGAGCTGCTCGTAAAGAAGGTTCTTTGTGGAACTCCTAAACTCTTTCCATTCCCATATTTACAACAGATTGAACAATATAAGAAATTATTTTCATTATTCACTTTCACAATTTGCCTGGAGAGCACTCAGTATGTAACACTATGTTTTATAATTTTTAAAAAAAATTACTTTTGTGTGAAAGTAACCAACAGATTTCCCAAGGATGTAATCAAACTACCTAGAGGGTCATGAGCTGACATAAGGTGGGTCACCTAAAATTTTAATATTTAGTTAATCAAGAATATTACGCAAACATTTTTTTAAGCCACATAGTTGTTATCATATGAACCAATATACTGCACTATGGAAACAGTCCTGTGTGTACAAATATTTTGGAACTACAACATTCTGAAATTTATTTGTAGCTCTTTGTATTTTGTTTATATGAAAGGATTTTCTGTAATGAGCATTCAGTAGTGCATTTTGTAGTTAAAGTGCTTACCCATTATCACATCGTTACTCATTGTTGATGTGAGAAAGTGCTTGTAATGAAAAATATCTAACAAATAAAATAGCCATTTGTACTGATCTGACTGATGGGACAGAGAAAAGCAACTTTGACAATCCAAAAACAAATGAAGAACCACCTCAGCATCTGGTGTCTGGATCACTAAAATTAGGATAAAATCTAGAATCTCATATCTTAAAGAAAGATATGAAGTTCCTGCATTCATAAACATTACTTAGGCTGGGTTGGAGCTAAAATCATCTGAGTAACAATTTAGGCAAAATTAAGGTTCTAATCATTTTGATCCTAACAATTAATCATCTACACCAGGCAGAAGAAGAATTATGTACAATTTTTGTGTGGTTTTATTTAACTTTGCCATGTTCTCTTTTATGCTTTCCAGAACTCTTTTCTGTTTTCCACTGTGTTCAATTTATTCAATTTCTTATTCAGGCCGGCATGTGTCATTGCCATTTTGGACTTTAAGTCCCAGAAGATATCTCATTCACTCGACATTTCTCTGACTGACTGTTGCACCTGTTTGTTCGGAGAGTCATTTTCGGAGCACCATAGAGTTGAGAATTTCCTGGTTCTAATTCTAATTCTCCTGGTTTTTCATTAAAGCTACATTGATTTGTTTTTTGGTACTTCATGTACTGGTCAGACTCAAGATATAGTTTATTTGTTGTATGAGCAATTCTTGTTCATTTTCTCTCCATTCCATTCCAACTGGATTCATCCCCTTTTTGGTTACCAGGGCCGTATAATAGAAATGTTTCTGCCAGAAATTCGCCGTTTGTTTGCGCTGCATTACATAACTTTCTCTTTTCTCTGCAGCGAGAAAGTTAAAGGTATTGGTGGCAAGGTGCCATAGTACTCATATGACTCGTTGTTGCTTGTATAAGTATTCATTCCAAAACTGAAGATTTCCTTTATTTCTTCAATATTTTTCAAGCTGCTTCTCATTGTATTCGAATATTTCATATATATTTCAACTATATTTTCTTGCCAAGTTTAACCCACCATTACTCATGCATATTTTTGTTACACAATTACTTGCGGGATAGATTTTATCTAATAAATGTTTATGATGTATTCTTTTATTATAAATCAAATTCGTGCTTTAATATTCCGAGATATTTGTTATTGTGTTCTATAACTTGTTTAGATGTAATAATCCATAAAGATGATATGCAGGATCATAACTTTTCTTTAAAATAAGTACTTAAATCAAAATGAGTCATGAAGTGAAGTATTAAATAAAGCAAATTTATTTAAGAAAGGCAAATCATAGAATACAATTAATGTGATAAACAATATAATTTCATCACATTTAAACATACAGGGATGAACTAAAATAAATCTTTCATGCTTGTTCTTTACAGAGGGGCTTGGAGCAAATATTATAGGAATGCTGCGGGAACCTGTTTAAACTCTTCAGATAATAATCTTCTTTTGTCTCTTGGATCGTCCCCAAAATAACTTTTTACTCTAAAAAGAAAACAAAACTATCAGAAACTACAGTGAAAAGATGACAGACGATTTTCTTGTTAAATCTATGAATCTTACGTTTGATATTAGATATAAAAAACACAATCAAAATGAGACACTAAGCTTTTCTGATATTCATGCAAGCATCAAGACACAAACCAGAGTAAATAAGCGGGAGGAGAGTGGATGTGATAATCTTATCGAAATATAACACAATTGCTCTCTCATGAGTATCTAACATGATGCACCGCAATTACCAGCACCTTCTCATATTGTTTCCCTTCGCAGAACTGATAACAATGATGAACGGATGCTGAGTTGAATCCTGTGAGAAGGCATAACTCAAGCATTATCTCTATGTTGAATAATGTCAATGCCATTGAAATAAATACCGAATTGGTATATTTTTTTCAAACAGCATGAGTAATGGAGGGTTAATAAATTCCTGGTGTACTGTGGATAACATTAGAATGGTATCCATGATAATTATTAAAATGAATCGAAGACCTACAAGCAATACAGAATATGTCATTGCTATAGAAATGTAAAACTGGGGTTAAATTCATAAGGAACTCAGTATGGAGAAACACTTGTAAATAATTTTTAACAAGTGGTAGACAATAATTATATAAGACACTGAATTTCAGTTGGAGGAACTTAATTGAGTGTGAAGATTTCAAAGTAACTGTAGTAATTGATATGTATATTTTAATTCCTTGTATAAATCATTATTAAAATATCCATTATGGCCCAAAAGTAGTCATGAATTATAATACAAATAAAATAATTGTAATTTCTGGTTAACGTAAAATTCAAGGTATTAACTTTTGATTTTCTATAATGTTGAAATAAATTGCATAATTATATCAGAAAGGTACTTGATAATATTAGATTGCAATGTATGAAAGTAACAAGGTGTATGGGTAATATTTTGTGTTCCTACATTAATTTACAGAACTCTCAATATTAATACAAAAATGAGTGGTTTGATGAGTTATACATTTTCTTTTCACAATTTCTTTTTGTTGTGAAGATGTTATTGTTTCATTTTCAAATACATATTTACTTTAATTTACCAGCAAACTTAATATGCCCTTAGTGTAGAAGAGGTAAGTGATGCACTTCTACCACTTAAAATAAGCAAACAAGGAAGAAAGGGACAAGGAGAGACTAAAACATTTTTTAGAAAATGACATTTCCTCTTTTCCACCAAATTGTATGTGTTTGATTAATTTTCCTTGTTCTGTATTTCAGGATGACCTGTTGAATCTATTACCCGACTGTGGCGATGCAATTGGGAATAAAAAGTGCCACCATCATAACGTAAGTTTCATTAACTTCTTTTTGAAGTGTGTGCTTAGGGCATTGGCACTTGTTCACAAACATTTTCATACTTCACATGTTATATATCAAACCTAAACTTATTTTTTAGAAAGACAGTTTGGCAGTACCTAAGGAGCAAAGCATGAAGACAAAATATAGTGGGTTTGAATTACAAATGATCCAGGAAGAAGATGAACTAAAATCTGTGGTATCTTCCCAGGTGGAAACTGTTAAAAGAAGAGTTCCTTCGTTTCCAATAATAAATAATTATTTTAAACACGAAAAAGGTAAGCATGTAAAACTTAAGATAATATGGTGACTGCTGAAATAACAAAATAATATTTTACTTATTATATTACATGATACACAATTCGAATTAAATATTTCTTAGATTCCCCGGATCAGTCCTAAGAAATTGGGGAAATCATGTGGATAGAGCCACATGGAGAACATTCCAGGAGACAAAGGTAAGAAATAAGAGAAGGATTGGCTAATGAATTAAACAAATTATATATCTGGAAAAAAAAAACTGCAACTTTTTTTTGCCCTAGAAAGGAAACCAAAGGGAGAACCTGAAGAGCAAGAAATACTTTTGCAGCCTACTTGAATATGGAATATCCTCCTGCTAGATAATTCATGGTATGAAAAGACACAAAATTGTTTTTTTTAAGTTTTGAAGTGCTCTCCAGTGCATTGAAAATTGAAACATCACATAAGATTCTCAGGCCTTCAACTTCTTTACTCCTTAGATGTATTGGTTTCTTAAAAAATTTCCTGAGTATTTCTCTTTTGCACCATGTCTTCCACAATTTTCTATCTTTCTTTCTTTTTCTTTTTCTTTTACCTCCCTTTCTCCTCCAGTCTTTTTCTTTTCAGCCTCCTGGGCATCTCTTGTCATGTTGTTTGCCATATTTTCTCTCGTACCTTTGCATTGCATTATGCTTCAAAAGACTTGTTATTTTTTTTATCTTCTCACCAAAAGTTGTTCACACAATTAATTAAGCATGTCTCCTCAGTCTGTTTGTTACCTAATCACTTGTAGGTAAAGAATTAAATAAATTGTGATAATAGTCATGCAGTAGTTAAGTTATATTACAGATTTCAAAGTATTTATTGGTAATTATTAAAGTTAGGAAAGGAAAATAGAACTGAAATGACAAATTTGTCTACTTCTATAGTTTCAAACATCTCTGCAGGTTGAGAAATGTTAGATTGATATCACAATACCACAATATAGATTTTGGCATTAAGTTTCATGCTAGTTCTTCTTCATCTGCATTTTCCAATGTTATCAACAAAACTTTGTTAGATGAAGTATCAGTTTATAGTAAAAGTAAATTCCCTGACTATGACATGGAAGCTTTGAGGTGTTCTATGATCATTCTATTAGATACTTGCTCCTTACATACAGGGCTTTGTGAACACAATTAATGATAGAAAGTTGAATAAAACCATAAGCAACTTCAACCAACAAAAAACCTTTTTTAACTCATTATACTTATAATCATATTAGAGTGCATCCCACTCTTCTCTATTTAGTACTAGGACAATTTTCACTTAAATATTCTTTAGGATTCCAGTTGAATCAGCCCATATGGGTCTCATGTTTTGATTTAGAAAAGTGAATTACATTAAAAAAAATAAAAAACATTTCTCCAGTATTTAAATTGCAATAGTTTACAATTGTTTATTTTCCTTTTAGATACATCAGATTAAACAGCACATCATATTTTGCTTTCTGTTACCTACTACCAATTAAAAGTTAAATATGTATTTAATTTAATTTCATTTAATTATTTTAAAAATTATTTGTTATCTTAAATTTGCTTTGTCCCTAAAAAATGTAAATTGCAACTATTAAATACATTTCTATTTCGGCAATGGTCTCTTTCTTTTATTGTCAGCTAAAACAAACAACTTTTACCATTTTCTCCAGTTAATTTAAGGTACTTAGAAATATAAGAGTTCAGCAAAAAATAAATATAAAATTTTCTCGGATATATGCCCCCTTTCATTTTATGAAAATTTTGGAATGTACTTTGCATATTATTTGTTGCAATAATGTTTAAAACCTGCTTCCCTGTAACTTTCATACTGAGGTCTAAAGAAAATTGCAGTTAGAAATAAAATTATCTATCCTCTTTCAACATTATTTGAATAATAAAAGATAATTAAAAAGAAAAGTATTTCACTTATTTTTGAGATGCTTACTTATATGCCCTCCCCTCTCCATTTTTGTTGCCATTTTTTTATGTGGGGCTTATATTTGAGAAAATATGACGTAAAGTAATGTTTGCTACACTTTCATATGGGTATCTCAATAAATCAAAAGAAAATGGCATCACACAAAGGAATGGTAGAGACTCGTTACATGTGTGTATCCAAAAGTAGACAGCAAATATTACATTTACAGCTTTGTGTGTAAGAGTTTTATGTAGTAAGAGATGTACATTTTGCAAAATTGAGGGTTTCCAAAGCATCCGCATTTGAACTTGCTAAAATGCTTGTTGAATAATGGAATGAAAATATCATTTTCCCACACTTTCCTCGGAGTTTATTGTATAAATGTTAATGAACTTGTGGGTTCGATCGGCCTATCTCACTGCAGCTAATGATATTGATATTAAACTGAAATACACATCATAGTTTAGATTTGTGATTTGCCAACATGTTAAAGATGTTGTCACAGTCGTATGAAATATTGAATAATCAATAGTGAGTGAACCGAGGACTATCATGATAAAAAATTGCTTGCCATCTAGAACCTCTTATAAGGTGTAATAAAAATTGATCCGAGCTGCTTTTCTGTGGTTCTTAATTTTTCTATATCTACATGCAAAAGCACTATATTACTCGAAGTACCGGGTGTTTATTTTATCTTTGGCCGAAGATGATGCGCCGCTTGCTTCAGCGATCGAGCCCTCGGCTTCCCGGGAACTTTTCGACAGTGTTCATCGTTCGGCGCGACTGGCCGATACAGCAGTGTCCCGAGAACGTTCAACTGTGCATCATGAAATTTCCTTTGAAGCAGAGAACATTTCTTTACTATACTTTCGTTCGACTTAAGTCTGCCAGGAGGTACCGTAAGAGGTTTATTAAGAAATTTCCGGGCGTGAATGTTCCACATCACGATTGCAACATGACAGCATCTCTTACGCTTCCGCGGGGACCTGAATCAATTCAGATAAAATTTCGTGTCGCCCTGCCGTAAAATCTTCCGATCTCTGATGAATATCGTTACGACAGACAATTACTATCCTCCGGAAATATCGAGCTCCGCTCCCACATCTACTTTCTGTGTGCTCGTCGTTTCGTCTTTATGTCTTCTCTCAGTTCTTGTTTCGTCCATCAGTCCCCCGGCCCTTCCTCTTCTCATGTGTCTGTTGCTGTTGTGATTCGCTAGGGAAGAGTATGAGCGAGCGTCAGCGAAATTGACTCTCCAAAGTAGCTAAGCTTCCCACGCATATGTGGCGTTCTGGAAGACACTTAACAAAATGGTTTCGTTTTTGTTAAAATATTTAATTTTTCGAAAATTCTGAAAGTTCATTTTTTCGGTGTCTTCAATAACAATAATATTAGAGATAATTTTTTCTTCAAGGAAATCTGTTCTTTAAAGACATTTTGAAATAAGGTCATGCACAAATTTTCGAAAACATGAGTAGTTTATGCTTAATTTTGCGTAAAATATATTTTTGTTTACATTTTTTAAAACAATTATTTTCTCAAATAGCTACAATTATTTTCTTTAATTTTTCTCCTCATACATAAATATATGTCAAAGAACGGTATAAAAGTTGGTGCTAGTCTCATTTCCGGTGAACTCTATATTTTCGAAAAATTACAAAACTGAAGATTAGACTTAGATAAAATCTGTTCAAAAAACCATCTCTTTAGAAAAGGCGATGTACAATTTTTTGAAAAATCGAACTGTTAAAAAAAGTAGCTTGAAATTAAAGCAATTTATAAAAAATATTCTCAAAAACTCAACCTGTTTGTCGTACCGTGGTAGCGCCAGAACAATTCAGCCGATTTTCTCCAAAATTGATATTGCTAAATCAGTTCAAATGAACTCGAGGTCCTCTTGATACCGATACTCTGCATGACGCATCAACATTTTCAATTTTTTTCAAACGACGAAGTATCTACGTCTAACTCCCGGCGAATCTGGAGCAGTACCATAACAAACAAGCCAGGTTCGGACGCAATCTTTCCTTCCTTTTCCTTGTCCTATTATCACCCCTTATTTTCATGCACTTGCACCTTACATGTACTACATTGCCACACATGCCGGGAGACCAGCCGATAGCTTAGTGTCTCGGGTAGGTCAGTGGCCCGCTAGTGGGAGTTACATGGTTGGGGAAACCCCGCTAGCTGACGGGTAGTTCGGCGCCGGACCTCGCCATCCAGCGGGAGAACATTACCACCAACTCCCGCGAAAAGCACAAGAGAGCACACACGTCCAAAATCACTAATAAAATCAATCATTTGAAAAATGCTACAGGTCTCATTTTCCTTAAATCCCTGGTTTTTTGAAAATTACAAAGTTTAAAATCTTTCGTCCTCTTTCAACGTGTTGCTGTCTGTTGCTGTTGTGATTCGCTAGGGAAGTGTATGAGCGAGCGTTAGCGAAATTGACTCTCCAAAGTAGCTAAGCTTCCCACGCATATGTGACGTTCTGGAACTTACTGGAAGCCCAGAGATGTGATTGGTGGATAGTGCTTGCTAGGGCCGCATCCAATCGAGAGCGACAGCAGCTCTTCCTTGGGCTGTGGAAAGGTCGCGAACATCCAGCTGTTCGCGCCGTGTTCCACCAACGCGAGGGAGGTCACCGTAGCGCCATTGAGCACGAGCACGCCAGCCATTGCGCCGTCTTTCGTCTGTCTTCCAGGGAACCTGTTAGAGAACCGGGAGCCATTAGCTGACGGTCATTATTGTAAAGGAAAGGCAGGATCGCAAGTAGGAGTCAGATAAAGAATAATTGTAATACATGTAAGGTCAAATTCCCATATTCATGACTATAATTTGTACATAACTATACCTTGAACAAGTTATAGTACCATAACTTGAACAATTTCTTTCACGTTACCTATTAATTTGCCTAGTAATTTCGGCGTATCAGAACAAAAATGGGGATTAACTTTTTTTAAAAAATTGTTCGCCAATTCGATGCACTCTGTTAGGCAAATTTGTTGCATTATTCTTTACAAAGTGGAAACTCCATCCAGAAAATAACCGCGCAACGTTTCTTGATTGATGTGATTTCTTCACTTGGAGAAATGCGAGTAAAGTTGGGGTATTAGTTACGAAATCGGCCACGAAAATTTGTGAAGCAGTGCCAATCTCGAATATCAGTCACGCCTTCGCAACTTTCTCATTAATATGCGTTCTACGTTTCTCAGGTGTTCGAAATACCTCCTGCGATGGATTTGAACCGGATTCAGCCATTTCTTTAGATTTGTTTCGAGAAAAACACGGACAAGAGTTGTCGTCTTCAACAGCAAATAGTTTTTATTGAGCGCCAATAATCATGTGTTTGGAATGTTGCCATCAGTTCTCGCTGAGAGCCTTTACCTTCAGTTGCTCATTGTGCCAGAGAGGGGGAAGGTAGGCCAT